GTATCGAAAGGGAATATCGCATCAAAATGCAAATGGGTTATCTAGACGGCCATGTTCTCGAGATGGCTGCAATTATTGTGATAAGGTGGAAGCTAGAAAGGAATCCAGTGAGGAAGGCTTAATAGCTCGAATAGTTTTGCAGGAAAATGTTCTGGAGGAGTGATGTAAGGAACAATTTGAGGATTCAGTCGTCTCTGTATTTTTGCGTGCTAAAGAAAAAGGAGAAATTCCACTTCGTGAGGACTTGGCCAGTCTTGAATCTTCGGCCAGGGTTTACTTTTTTTATTGGGATGCTCTTTTGATAAAAAATGGGGTTCTTTATAAGAGGTGGGAATCTCCAAATACTAAACTCGTTCTTGATCAGATTATAGTTCCTCGTAGTCGGGTGGAACAAATTTTGAGAGCTGCTCACGACATGCCTACAGGAGGTCATTTCGGGATCAATAAAACTCTGGATAAAATTCGTAAACGTTTTTATTGGGCTTTGTGTAAGCAAGATGTGGAGAATTGATGTCGGAGTTGTAATATTTGTAATGCAAGAAAGGGACCCCCCTTTGGGACGGATAAATCTTCGTTGCAAATTTACAATGTCGGTGCTCCATTTGAAAGAATTCAGATGGACATTTTGGGTCCCCTTCCATATTCGTCTTCAGGGAATCGTTTTCTCCTAGTAATAGTGGACTGTTTTACGAAATGGGTCGAGGCTTTTCCATTCAAAAATAGTAAGGCTAAGACGGTGACGGAAGTTTTTGTTTATGAAATAGTTTCTAGGCATGGCGTGCCATGCGAATTGCATACTGATCAGGGGAGAAATTTCGAATCGAAAGTTTTTCAGGAAATTGTTCGTTTGTTGGGAATTAAGAAGACTAGAACAACTGCCTTACACTCCCAGTCCGATGGTCAGGTTGAATGCTAGCATCAGACAATTTTGAATTATCTATCAAAATTCGTGGCAGAAAATCAAAGAGACTGGGATAAATGGATTCCTTTGTGCATATTAGCTTGTCGATCGTCAAGGCATGAGGCTACAGGTTTTTCTCCTGCGGAGTTGTATTTTGGTCGGGAACTTCGGCTTCCCATGGATTTATTGCGAGGAAGTCCACCTGAAAATAGGGATAATAACGCAAGGGAATATTATACTTGGAAATTCAGAGAAAGGCTGGATGCAATCCATCGCAGTGCGACAGAACACTTGAATCTAAAATCTTTGCGAGTAAAGGATCGCTATGATCAGAAAGCTAAGCGGATTAATTTCAAAATAGGACAGAAAGTTTGGTTATTTAATCCTCAAAGAAGGAAGGGAAGGGCCCCTTTACAGAATTACAGAAATTACAGAATAATTGGAAGAGGCCTTATGAGATTGTCAGGCAGCTTCGTGAGGTAGTTTTTGGAATTCGCAAATCAGCTAGGCATAGACAAAAGGTTGTTCATTCAGATAGAATAGCTCCATTTTTGGAAAGATAAACTCTTAATTCTATTTTTTTGTTGCCAGGATTAAGTCCTGGATGCTTCTGAAGTTTTGTTGTAGTGTTGACATTCGAAGAGGAAAATGGGGTTGGAAATTAAGCTGAAATTTTCCAGTTTCCCGGAATATGCTTGTTAGTCGTCCAATAGAAGAAGACCGTTTCGCTCGCGGTTTTTTTGGGCCCCGTGGTTTTTTCCGCGGGACTAAGGGCAAATGCCGAGACGAGGACAAAAAGAAATCCTTTAAGGATGTTAAGGACCACGGGGAAGTTATACTCCCCCCCTTTTTGTCCGAAGACTTCGTCAAGACTGGAAGGACGAAAGAAGAGATTCGGCGTTCAAGGAGGGCTAGCAGTTCTTAGGCTTTGAAAGAAACCGGAACAAGAAGACTGGCCTAAAAGCTCCTGGAGACTGATCATCTCCTAGAGGACGGGGATAGAGATGATGTTCTGAAGGCGAAGAATCAAGATCCTCAGAATCCTTGATTGAGATCAGGAATTCATGGAGTCCGGTAACCTGTAGCAGCAGCTCAGGGTAAGACAAGAGTCATGAAGATCTCTGGAGTCAAGGAAGAGGATGACATTGCCTAAGAGAATTGTCGGACGACAATTTGAAGAGACGGGGGGCAGTGTTACGCTCCTGTATATACGTCTTGCCGAACGTGGAATGTGTCGGTGCTCATCTTAGCAACCGTTGTTACGGTTGTTGTTGTTGTTGTTGACAGCTGGGGTAACTTTCTATGGAGCGATTGAGCGATTCGGTCGAATTACGTTAAAGAGTTTTCTCTGAATAATTGTTCTCGTTCGCAAACCTTGTACAAATCTTTGTTTATATTAAAGAGTTCTTGTTATTTGTTCACGGGAGTGTTGCTTACTATTTACGCGGGTGATCGTGAGTGAGAGGAAAACGACGCTTGGGCGTAACAATACTATAAAAATAACTTCCAAAGAATCCTATTTTCTTATTTTCATTTTTTCTTACTGTGTACAATAAAATATTATATTTTCTTTCATTTTATTGCTTTTTTTTAATTTTCAATTTTCAATTTTAGTTTTTAATTTTTTTAATTTTTAAGTTATAATTATCTCGAAAACCTAACGTGAATGAGAAATTCTAAGGCCGGATTCATATTCAGCGGACAAAATGACGTAGGAAATGACCTTTGACATCCAAAACATAAAATCATACAGACCTGTGTAATCGGTTCAATATTGTGAAAAACAGCATTTTTTAGCTATTATAACCTAATTATCTCGAAAACCTGACATGAATGAGAAATTCTAAGGCCCGATTCGTATTCAGCGGACAAAATTACGTAGGAAATGACCATTGAAATTCAAAACGCAAAATCATGCAGACCTGTGTAATTTGATGCACTTATCATCAATCGTATTAAATCGCCGAAAAGTAATTTTTCTCCATAACAACGCTTGGCTTCATTTCCTATAGCCGTGAAACAAACCCTGATGGATCTCGAATGGGCAGTTCTCCCGCACTCACAAGGAGATGGCAAGACATGTAAAATCGATAATTGAATGAGTCATATTTCATTCGAATGGGGGATTGAGTACATAAAAATCCTAAAAGAGTTTGCGTGCATAGGCCTTTGTTTGCGAGAAATTTGCAATTAAGAAAGCTGCTACATATTAAATGTAATAACTTGGAATTAATAAGCGTGAAGCGCGATGGCTGCGGAAGCTAAGGCGCACGCTAGTATTTTGTCGTCTACATCCAAGGAGTGTTCGAGTCCTCGCAGTGCCAACTTTTTTTTTATAATATTATGTATTACTATATTTTATAATATTTCTACAATATTTTTAATATTTTTATTATTTTTCAGAGGACAAAATTATAATACACACATATAAATAATATCTGTCTTATAATATAATAAATAACAAGAATAAACGTTTATTTGTTATAAAATTATTTGTTATAAAATTCAAACATTGCTGTACAATATTATGAATGAAAATTCACATAAAAGCATGTAAAGTCATATCCTTTATGTACCTTTAATGTTGACAAGAATATACAAAACATTTATCTCGAAAATACGCGATACTGTCAGTCAAATCTTCTTTTGATATTGTTGCGCTCACTCTCGCACTCGCACTCGCACTCTCTTGCACTCAGGTAAATAAAAACACTCGAGTAAGAATAACAAGCTTTACTATTTACAGCGCAGCTCACTCAAGCTTTAAACAAGAATAATTCTCTGAACTACAATTCTCGCGTCTGCCTACGATGACAGCTTGCCAGAGACTCTCTGTCAGCTGTTGTTGTTTTCTTCTTATCGATTTTCCATCGTCCAGACAATCTTCGTTCAGTTGTTAAAATCAGCATCATATGCCTAAGACTCACGGACAACGGACGCCGCCACAAACCTTGTGGCTCGGACACAACAATATATCAGATTTTGCTAACACTTGAATGTGATCTATTAATAATGGATCTACATTTGATTCCATTTTTATTGTTAGCATACATGATCACATACACACTATAACAGTGACTTCCTTATTGCTCAATATTCGAAAAACTACTAACCGAGAAAAAGGTCCACATAGTCCTAATGGTTTCTTGAAATCATAGAACGCATGTGCGCAAAACGAATACCTGTTATAACAATAGAAACTTTTCTTACGAAGGAACAAAAAAGAGAGATCGATTTTACTCATGTCCCATGTTCGAGGCAATATATAAAAAAAATGTACAGCAATTCCTGAATTTTATAATAAATAATCAAAACGTTTATTCTTGTTATTTATTATATAAGACATATTATTATATATGTGCACATTATATTTTTGTCCTATAAAAAATAATAAAAATATTAAAAATATTGTAGAAATATTATCAAATATAGTAATACATAATATCATAAAAAAAAAGCACTGCGAGAATTCGAACCACTCCTCGGACGTAGACGACAAATTACTAACGCGCGCCTTAGCTTCCGCAGCTACCGCGCTTTAAGCCCTAAACACAATGCCAAGCAACAGGCAATAAGAATAAAAATAGACCAATCACAATCGACTATTACAAGAATAATCTATTGTGATTGGTCTATTTTTATTCTTATTGCCTGTTGCTTGACATTGTGTTTAGGGCTTTACGCTTATTGATTCTAAGTTACTATACTTAATGTGTAGCTGTTTTTTAATTGTAAATTTTTAGCAAACGAAGGCCCATGCACGCAAACCCTTTTAAGGTTTTTATGTACTCAATCCCCCCATTCGAATGAAATATGACTCATTCAGTTATTGATTTTACATATCTTGCCATCTCCTTGTCAGTGCATTCTTCGGACATGGTCTCAAATGATTCATTCCGAACGATGCAACACGCTTTGGAAGATATACATTTCCATAATAAACGGAGAAGTTGAAAATTCGGTTGCTGAATGGATTGCCTCAAAGGCAGACCGTTTTTTCGTCGCGGAATTCAACTTCTGCCAGAAAAGTGGGAAAAAGTCATAGTCTTTGGAGACAAATACTTTGATTGATATATTCACATATTTTGTTATTAAAATAAATATTCAAAAAACACAAAAAAACGACATTCAATGTAACCTTTTAATAGATTGTCAATGTCACAGAATCTTCTGCTGGAACTGATGTTATTTGCATCACTTTTATTGATATCATTGTTCAACGAAACAAAAAGGAATGCTAAAATGAGGTTAGTCATTTCCCATAATTTTTTTAGACGTTGAATACAATTCCGGTTTTCAAATTGCTCCACCACAATTTTGAAAAATTTATAATTAAAATTGCAAACAAAGGTTATTTTTATACATTTTGTTATATTATAACTGCGAAATATAACGTGCTGGAGAAGAAAAGTTTTATTGTAATCAAAATTAAATATGTTGTTAGGGCTTTCAACTTGTAAAGGAACTTTTTTGTATTGGCTATGATTGATAAGATATTTAAGAATAAATATGCCATTTTATTGCGGAAGAGCTATAAATTAAATTATTGATTAAAATATTTATCAAATAGCTTTTAATTATGTTTCAAAGTTATATACACATATTTACATTAAATATTTCAATGTTAACTTACACTTAATTTTCTAAGACTCTGAATATGAATCGAATGTCAAAACCCAGTAAGTAAAAAAACATATTGTTACGCGTTGGGTGCCGAATGGCGCGTATCCGGGAAATGATTTTACAATTGACTTAAAGAAAGAGCTTTACTTTACTAACATTATTTACAAGAATATTTACAAGATTCTATCGTTTTTCTGAATTCTGAAAAACTCGTTCGCCACACGTCAGCCCGTGTTGATGGCTCGTGTGCGACTTTATCAATTCTTATTTATTCGTTGTCCTGGGAAATCGCTCTTCAATCCTAAGGATATTGATTTTTCTAAGACAGCTGATCAAATTGTCACAGTTGACCGGCAACCACAAGACGAGCGGCACCACATACCATGGCGCATAATAATATTATACAGGGTGTCCCATTTAACTTGAAATATCGAAATAACTCGAAAACAAAGAAGAAAAACAAAAATCACTGAAACACATATCGAACGAATTCCGAGGACGAGTAAAATGGCATGATTCCTTTTCTATTTGGTCGACGTCTTCAAGGTGATTTTAAGGTCAACTTTGTTATTTCAAATGAAAACTTATATTTTTATGACGAAAACATATTCTACGTACAAAAACAATTAACTTTTGCCGGAAAAATTTTTTACTTGATCAGTACTTTCAGAGATATCGTACGAAGTAATTCCGATTTTTATTCGAAACGAGTAAAATAAACGTCTCAATAAATGCCCAAAATGATGATCTTCCATTTCCAAACATTTTAATATGACCAATAATATTATGCTAATTAACTTCTCCATTATTGGTAAAAGTAGATTCATCAGAAAATCGTGATCATATGAAAATCTCATATTTACAAGTGTTCCGTACCTCGTGTTTACGAGGGCGGTCCGATAAGTACTTAGCCTCACCGCCCGATGACACCACTATCGCAAGAGAAATTTACTATCGTGTAGTACATTCTCGTAGACGGCTACTGTCGAAATTTCAGCCGCATCGAACTCGTAGTTTTGTTTTGACCGCGTGTGGAAGCGGGCTTGTCCGCGGATTTTAGAAAAATGGAAAAATAGCAATATCGGTCGGTGATTCGATTCTTGTTTTTGGAAGGGAAATCGCGCAGCGAAATCAAAGAGCGCTTGGATGCTGTGTACGGTGACTCTTCTCCTTCGATGGCGACCGTCAAAAATTGGTTTAACGAGTTTCAACGTGGTCGCACGTCGGTTTTTGATGAGCCACGCCTAGGTGCCCCGAAAACGGCTACCACGGAGGATAACATGATAAAAATCCACGATCTCGTATTGGCAGACCGCCGATTGAAGGTGCGCGAGATAGCTGAGACAGTAGGCATCTCAAAAGACCGCGTGGGTCATATCCTGCATGAAATTTTGGGCATGAGAAAGCTGTCGGCGTGATGGGTGCCGCGTTTGCTCACTCCGGACAACAAGCGCAACCGTGAGACCACTTCAGAGCAGTGTTTGACGCTGTTTAAGCGCAATCCGAAGGAGTTTCTGCGTCGTTTCGTGACCGTCGACGAAACATGGATCCACTGGTACACACCAGAGACCAAGGAACAGTCGAAACAGTGGACTTCACCCGGCGAACGTGCTCCGAAGAAGGCGAAAACTGTCCTATCGGCCGGAAAGGTGATGGCCAGCGTTTTCTGGGATTCACAAGGTGTGATCTACATCGACTACCTGGAGAAGGGCAAAACGGTCACTGGGCTGTACTATGCCGAATTATTGGGCCGATTCGACGCCGAATTGCAGAAAAAACGGCCCCATTTGGCGAAGAAAAAAGTGCTCTTCCACCATGACAACGCACCGGCTCACACCTCCGCCCTCGCCACGGTCAAATTGGTCGAATTGGGCTACGAACTGCTGCCCCATCCATCGTATTCTCCAGATTTAGCCCCGTGCGACTTCTTTTTGTTTCCAAACTTGAAAAAGTCACTCGCCGGGCAGAAATTTGAGTCGAATGAGGAGGTCACCGCCGTCACGGAGGCCTACTTTGCAGACCTCGAGAAAACGTATTTTTCAGACGGGTTAAAGAAGTTGGAGCATCGCTGGGTCAAGTGTATCGAGCTAAAAGGAGACTATGTTGAGAAATAAATCGCCACTTTAACAAAATTTTCGTTTTTCTTTTGTAGGCTAAGTACTTATCGGACCACCCTCGTATACTGAACAAAAGAAGTGCAATCGCGTCACTGAGATGTTTTGATTATTTCGGTCTTATTTTCTGACGAATCTACTTTTACCAATAATGGAGAAGTTAATCGACATAATATGCATTATTGGTTAGATCAAAATCCAAGATGACTTCGAGAATTAGAACATCAACGTCCATGGTCTGTCAATATTTGGTGTGGAATCATTGGCGATAAAATAATAGATCCTTTTTTTTCAATGGTACGTTGAATGGAGTGAAACATGGAAACTTCTTGGATGTAGTATTACCCGTATTGCTTGAAGAAGTAAGTCTAGCAAATAGAAGAAATATGTGGTTTCAGCAGGACGGATGCCCAGCTCACTATTCGCGTTATGCACGCCAAATAATGAATCAGAAATATCCTGGTCGCTCGATAGGTCGGGGAGTTCCAATTAACTGGTCGACAAGGTTGCTTGATTTAACACCGTTGGATTTTTATTAATGAGGCTACCTTAAAGAGAAAGTTTATCACGATCGATCTACTATACCAGGAAACATGAAAGAGCGAATCTGAAATGCCTATCGCGATATCCATCCAGTAACTTTATTATCAGTGAATCGATCTTTTATTAATCGCATTAACAAGTGTTTGAAAATGGAAGGCCATAATTTTGAGCATTTATTGTATTCGTGTCGAATACAAATCGGAATTACTTTGTACGATATCTCCGAAAGTAATGATCAAATAAAGTTTTTCCGACAAAAGTTAATTGGTTTTTTACATAAAATATGCTTCCGTCATAAAAAATATAGGTTTTCATTTGAAATAACAAAATTGACTATAAAATCACCTTGAAGACATTCACCAAATGAAAAAGGAATCATGCCTCGTCCTCGGAATTTGTTCGACACGTGTTTCAGAGATTTTTGTTTTTCTTCTTTGTTTTCGAGTTATTTCGATGTCTCAAGTTAAATGGGAATCCTGTATATTGGGTTGGGGAAAAAGTTTCTTCATATTCTCCCAGTAGATGGCTTTAAGATCGTATAACTCTGGTAATATTAATCAGATCTGGCAATACTTGCGTGCATCTGAAAGGTGACATATCATAAAGAAATAAAGAAAAAAGTTGTGATATTTATTTACTCACAAGGAACATCCGTTAAGTGTGTGTCTCCGATTTCGACGAAATATGGTATATTTGTAGAATAGCTAAAAATAAAAGACCTAACCGTATTTTTTTATCAGCAATGACGCAAGTTTAAAGGATGAAGCTATCCCTCAAATTTTCATCCCTTTTATGCTATCTAATAACTATTGCAGATAGAAAAAAAAATTTTTAAACAAAAATTGTACGGTTACTTGTGAGAAATAAAACTTAAGAAAAATAAAAAAATAAAAGGCTTGGTCAAAATAAAAAAGTATTTTTAATAATTAACAAAATGACTATATCAGGCTTACTTAATTATTTGATCAAATTCATTATATAGAAGAAAAAGTTAGTATTTTTCGTTCTGAATCCATCTACATATAATGTTTTATGTTTAAATTATACGTACATTGCAATTTTATAAATGGAATGGTACCATAAGCAAGGTGTTCGGTGTTTGAATGCTTAATCGCTACATCGCTACGCAAATAACGAACATCTGTTGAACATATCTTTTAAATGCATTTTAGTTAATACAACAATATAAAAGAATTCAGAAACTATTAACACATAAATGCGGGCCGCCGATCATTTTTTCTATTTATAACATACTCCATATCACATTATTTTTAAGTGTGTTTAATCAAGAAGCACACTGTGCCTATATTATGCGAAACTGCGAGTTGAAACGAGGTGAGATATTCATATCTCAGAAATGGCTAAACCGGTCGAGGTTTTTTCTGTCCCAATCGATTCGGTCTTAAAAAATAGGAAGAACAGTGTCCTTGTGTTTTTTGTGTACATTGTCTTCAAGTGTAGATGTTTTAAGATAAGATAAAGTCCGAATCACGAAAAATTTCAATTCAGTAAAAAAGTAAGAAACCCTAGACCACAGAAGAGAGGGGATTTGTGCATCCCACTTTTCCGACACCAGAGGCGTTACGAGCGCGCTGAAGAAACAGCGAGTGCGAGTAAGCAAGCGATAGAGAGTAAGAGAGAGAAGAATATTGCTAGAATATAGGAGGTGAAAATGTGCGAGAAAGAGAAAGACAGCGAGAGCGACAGCAGCAGAGCGAGGGAGAAAAAAAGGAGCGAGGGGGGAAGAGGGAGAAGGGGTTGCGAAGAGAGAGAGGAGGAGGAGGGGGAAAGGGAGTGAGAGAGGGGGAGAGGGAGAGAGAGGGGGTGGGAGTGGTTGAGAGAGAGAAAGAGGGAGAGGAAGAACGAATGAGAGAGGGAGGAAGAGGGAGAGGGAGACATCGTACCGCACCTGAGCGTGTATCTTTGGGCAATGTAATTTATTATTTTCGTTATACAAATAATAAGTT